TGTATTCATATATGAACATAGGAAAGTGATGTCCGATTCATTCTACTGTCTTTCCCGTTCTCATCCCACCTCCTTTCCCTTTGTCTAATCCAGTGAACTACTATTTTTCCCTGCCTCTCATTGTGTGTTAGCATCTGCATATTAGAACATTTGCTTTGGGGGGATTAGCTTATTTTACTTAGCATGATAGCCTCTAGGTCCATCTATTTACTGGCAAATGCCATAATTTCCTTCTTCTTTATGACTGGTATATTCATTGTGTATATATACCACAGCTTATTTATCCATTCACTGTTGAAGGGCACCTAGGTTGGTTCCATAGCTTGGCTATTGTGAATTGAGCTGCTATAAACATTAACACGGCCATGTCACTGTAGTATGCTCACTTTAAGTCCTTTGGGTAAGTCTTTTAATTTGGTGCTCTGGTATCTTTGCCGAAGGAGGTGCAGGATGTTTTGTATGTGCACATGTGTGTTAATAAGGGCTACTAAGGAAGGAAGTCTGTTTTCCACTGTTACCAGCTCCTGCAGTACAGTATTTCTGTGTTGCAGTCATGTCATGTGTTCTAACAGATCCAGATCTCTGCTGTCTTCTTTACCTCTTTTGTTTCCACCTTTTTCCTCTTTATGGCCCGTGCTCATGCAGCCTGCCTGATAGTGAACGAGACAAAGCCCTGGCTGCTAGTCCATCTCTTCTCTGCCTTTATTTGGAGGAAATGCTGATTGTGCTGTAGGGTAAATTGTTCCTGCTTAATGTCACTTCTTTCTTCGCATTTACTTTTTGTGCTGATTGTTAAAGATCCATTGATTTCTGAAAGTATGTTTTGCGGTGATACATTTTCTTATTTTAGTCTGTTAAATTGATATGTAACAGTAGCGTTTCCTAATTGTTATGTCACAGTTTTACTAGTCAGGCATAAAATTCTATTGATAATTGCCTAAATATCTAATTTTAAGTTGATGAAGTTGTTTTCTTAGTTTTGAATGTTAGTGACTCATAGAGATTAGAGTTCAAATTTCTTTCTTTTTCTTGTTTTTTTTTTTGTTTGTTTGTTTGTTTGTTTGTTACATGTTCTCCCCTATTTGGAGGGGGCAGTACTAGGGATTGAGCCCCAAGCCTTGCCCATGCTAAGCAAGCACTCTTATCACTGACTACACGCCCAACCTGTATAGTCCTGTCTTAATGGCTTAATGGACAATGTTTATAAACAAAACTCGGGATGATTTATATATTTTTATTGTCCCAAACATGCCAACCTGCATGTGAGAACAGTGGTGATGAAAAGTATTGGGACAATTATCACTGAGAGACAAGTCCTGTTATTTCATTTGATATAAGTATGTGTGTGTGTGTGTGTGTGTGTATATATATATTTGTCTTGCATACATGGATGTGCAAGTGTATGCTGTTTATCAAAGACAGCTGTATGTTTTTACCTGATTTATCGTATTTTCTGTGGTCTTGCATTCTCTGTCCCCTCTCATGTTCACAAGTTGACATTGGTAGGAATGGGAGTCTTATGTGGCTACGTGTGCATGCATGCAGAAGTTCACATTGCTCTGCTTGAACTTGCTTCTACGTCCCTCACTTCCCGTACTGTTTATTCACTTCTGATGCTCTGCTACTTAACTGTTTAATTCTTCAGGTTTAGTTCCATTTCTTAGATATCTGGGTCAGGTACTCGTTCTTCCATGCTCAGCTCTTTGATTTGAGCAGAGTTTCTTCAGTATCTGTGACACAGTTGTTTCCTCAGGAAGATGGGAATGAATCTTTCTTAGGTCGCCATAGGTGTTACTTCACGGAAGGCGTGTTGAACACCCTGTGTGTAGCTGGGATGTGGCTCGGTGATAGAATGCCTGCCCAGTATGCTCAAGGCCCTGGTTCACACACACCCAGCACCACCCACACCCACCCACACACACACACACACACACACACACACACACAAATCATAATAGCCAGCATTTAGAAGCTTTAGGCACTGCTGTTGCTGTTTTCACAGTTTTAGATTCTGACTTTTGGAAGCCTCTGTGGACTGTCGTCTCTGAAGACAGGGCTCATGCCATAGCTCACCTAGGTGTTGAGTGCACATCACATGGTGTGGCAGATGTCATAACTAATGCTTCCATGGAGGTCAGCCTGAGTTGGGCTTTTGCTTTGTGTGGGTACTGGGGATCTGTCACAGGGCCTCGTCCACACTAGGCAGGAACTCTGCCACTGAGCCACATCCCGGCCATGATCTGGCTTTTTATTTATGTGCTTCTTACATTATCCACAAAAATGAGAAATCCACACTGATATACAGTATTCCCTCAGTTTTCAGAAGGAGGCAACGAATGGGTGGATTTGTGAAATGTTTTTCGGGCTCCCTCTATAACATCCTCTCTCATGTACTCATAGGACTAGGATTCTGGAAAAGCCACAACCGATGGGATTCCTTTCTTTTTATAAACAGGGATCTTCCTTCCTGACCTTCGTGTTACAGGGTAGATATACAGGATATATATATATATATATATATATATATATATATATATATATATATATATACAGGGTATAACCTCTTGTGGAAAAATAAACTGGAACAGAATTAGGGAGACATAATGTTGCTCAAATGTACTTTTATATGTACGGGGATATCGTAAAAGCAAATTTTTAATTTCTCCTACTGTACACCCACCACCCAGAAAGCTTCTGTGACTCCAATGTGTGGGGTTTCCCCACACAACCAGCAAGAAATTCTGCAGCAGAAACCAGCTCTGTGTCCTTTGATTCAATTGGATTCTGACGAGTAGCCTCAGATCCCTCAGGGGGCGGGCCCAGTCCCTCAGGTGCCCTCATATCAGATGCCTGTGGTTCTGAGTGACAGGTTTGCAGGACTCCCTCCTCGGGTTTGGTTAATTTCCTGGAGCGGCTCACAGCACTGAGTGATACGCTTACTTACCCTGTCACATACTATCAAGGATGCAGATGAAGAGCCGAATGGAGGGTGCATAAGGCAAGGTGTGGGAGAAGGCACCTGGAGCTTCCGTCCCTTCGCTGGGCGATCCCTCCTCGGAGGACCTTCTCATGTTCAGCTAGCCGGAAGGTTCTTCAAATCCTGTCCTTTGGGGGTTTATGGAGGCATCATTACCAGGCATGATTGGTGATATCATTGGCCATTGGTGCGCCACTGAACCTTCAGCCCCTGTCCCCTCATGGGTGGTCTGGGAGTAAGGCTGGAAGTTCTGATCCACAAATCCTGCCTGGATCTTTCCAGTGACCAGTCCCAGTCCTGAAGTGTCTAGGGGCTTGTATCCTCCCTTATCACTTTAGAGATCCAAGTAATTGTGCATCTGCAAATATAGAGGTGAAGTATGCATTTCATAGCATCCCAGCTTGGGTCTGGTATGCTCACTCCAGGAGATTTCTTACAGTTCTCTTCTCATCCCATTTTATGTGGAGATGATAACTATCTGCATGTCTTCTTGATGAAACGTATTTTTTATTTTAGGGACAGTTGGCATTCAGGGATGTGGCCATTGAATTCTCCCAGGAGGAGTGGAAGTGCCTGGACCCCACACAGAGGGCTTTGTACAGGGACGTGATGCTGGAGAACTACAGGAACCTGGTCTCCCTGGGTGAGCGTGATCTCTCCTGAGATTGGATCTGTCTTGTGTACCTTTGCATTTTTCCTTCACATGCCTCGGGGGAGCTGCTTATTACTTGAGTAAAGTTGAAGCTCTGTTGACCCAGAAATGAAAATCTTCCTAATGTAGCCGCTGGACTTTAACCATCTCTCCTCCTCCTCTTCCTCACCACTAGCATTTGGCCACTGAGCTATAACCCTATCTTTTTGACTTTTTATTTTGAGACAGGGTCTTACTACGTTGCTGAGGCTGACCTCATACTTAAAATTCTCTGCTTCAGCCTCCCCAGTTACTGGGATGAGAGGTATGCACCACCATGGCCAGCTATTTCCTATGACTCTTAACCTATCTTTTTATTTTTTACAGTGCTGGGGATCAAACACACAGCCTTGCACATACTAGGCAAGCACTCTACCACTTTGCCACAGAGCTACAGCCCAACCTTCCCCCCTCCCTCCCTCTTTCCCTCCCTCCCCCCCCTCACTCTCATACTAGCGTTTGAACTTAGGGGTGTTGTACCACTTAGCTAGATGGTAGTGCTTTTTACTTTTTTGAGACAGGGCCTTGCTAAGTTGCTGAGGCTGTCCTGCCTCAGCCTCCCAATTAGCTGGAATTACAGGCACAAGTGCACCATTGTGCTGGTCCTTTCTCCTTCATTTCTGTAGATGTTTTGCCTACATAATATGATACATGATTGGGTGGTTACACAGCTCAGGTATGCACAGATGGCAGACTTTTTGTGTGTGTGTGTGTGTGTGGTAGTGCTGGGGATGAAACCTATGGCCTCTCACATGCTCAGCCAGCACTCTGCCACTGACCGATAGCCCAGGCCCTATGGAAGATTTAGCTCTGCTTGCTTCCTTCCACCCACCTGGTACTGGGAATTGAGTCTAGAGCTCTGCACATGCTAGGTCTGCCACTAAGCTACATTCCTAGACATTTTTTTAAGTTTTATTTTGAGACAGGGTCTCACAAAGTTGCCCAGGCTGGCCTCAAACTTGTGATCCTCCTGCCTCAGCCTCTTGAATAGCTGCAAATAAGCTCATTGTGCTGCTTTGCTTTTGATTTATTAGTTTTTGGAAGAGCTAGAGGTCTTATATTAAAGTATTCCCTCAGTTGTCAGAAGGAGGCAATGAATGGGTGGATTTGTGAAATGTTTTTCGGGCTCCCTCTATAACATCCTCTCTCATGTACACATAGGACTAGGATTCTGGAGAAGCCACAACAGATGGGATTCCTTTCTTTTTATAAACAGGGATCTTCCTTCCTGACCTTGGTGTTATTTCCATGTTGGAAGAAGGGAAAGAGCCCTGGACCTTGAAGAATGAAGTGAAAATAGCAAGAAATCCCGGTGGGTGGGGCTATGTCAAAGGTGTGAACCCAGGTAAGAGCTCACGTGTGCACAGTAGAAGCTTTATCGCCCAGTGTTGTCTGAGAAACTCCACGGGTGAAAGATTTCTGTGGGAAAACAAAAGTTTCTATGCTGTGAGCTCTTGCAGGAAATTTTCAAACTTCTCCCACTTACCATTCTATTCTTCAGAGATGTAAAAATTTGTCTTTTCACCCTCTCAAGGTCTATGTATTATTAATCAAGTTTTTGTTTAATTACTGGGGATTGAACTCAGGGCCTCACATATAGTAGGCAAATGCACTAATACCGAACTACTTTTCTTGGCATTTAAAAAAATTTTTTTCTGAGGCACAGTCTCACTAAATTGCCCAGGCTGGCCTTGAACTTGATATCCTCCTGCCTCAGCCCCCTGAGTCATTGGGATTACAGACCCTCACCACCATCTGGGGTAAATTTTATGGTTATTCTTAAGTTTTAAAAGTCTGCTTAATACAAATATTACTTTTGCAATAATAACATCTTTTTCAATATGAATGTTTCTTTTGTTGATGAGAAACATGTAACTTTATATCTTGTAGATTTCTCTCCTAAACACATAATTAAAAAATCACCTTCAAAAAGAAACAGCAGTATAGAAGAGAGATTCCAGAAAGCCATGCTGGGAAGACATGAGCACCATGACGCTGAAGCCCTTTCCTTCAGGGACATCCAGAGAAAGGCACATGGCTTCCAGTTTCCATGGAGAGATGGTGAAGGAGATTGTAAGAGAGTGCCCATGATCCATAAAGGAAGCCACATGGGTGGAAGAGACGGTGGTGATGGACAGGATGCAGGGAGCAAGCTTGAGAGTGATTGGCTTGGGCTGGGCTTTCCGCCAGGCCTGTCTGCACCCCAGCTGCTTCAGTCTGCAGGGAAAAGCGAGTGTGGTGAAGAGGAGAAGTCTGTGCACAGTGGTTCTTCAGCTTTACCACCTCAAAGCGTTCCTTCCAGTGTCGGAACGCTGGAAGGATACAGGAATGACTTTATTTATTCTTCATTGCTCATTCCAAGGCACAAAGCACACATTAGGGACAAGCCTTACAGATGCCACGAGTGTGGCAAGGTCTTTAGTTACACCTCCTCTCTTGCACATCATCGCAGAATCCACACTGGAGAGAAACTGTACAAGTGTGCTGAGTGTGGCAAGGCTTTCTTCAGGCGCTCCTATCTTTTGGTGCACGAGAGACATCACACGGGAGCAAAACCTTACAAGTGCAATGAGTGTGGTAAGGTCTTCACTCAGAACTCACACCTAACAAGTCATCGCAGAACTCACACCGGAGAGAAGCCGTACAAGTGTGCCGAGTGCGGCAAGGCCTTCAGCGTGCGCTCCAATCTAACCAACCATCAGGTGATCCACACTGGAGAGAAGCCATACAAGTGCAACGAGTGTGGCAAGGTCTTCAGCCAGACCTCGAGCCTCGCGATTCACCGGAGAACTCACACAGGGGAGAAACCATACCGGTGTAACGAGTGTGGCAAGGTCTTCAGCTCTCACTCAAACCTCAACACCCACCAGGTCATCCACACTGGAGAAAAGCCCTACAAGTGTTCTGAGTGTGGCAAGGTCTTCACCCAGAACTCACACCTGGCCAATCACTGGAGGACTCACACCGGGGAGAAGCCATACAAGTGTACAGAGTGTGGCAAGGCCTTCAGCGTGTACTCAAGCCTGACTACTCACCAGGCGATCCACACTGGGGAGAAGCCGTACAAGTGCAATGAGTGTGGCAAGGTCTTCACCCAGAACTCACACCTGGCAAGTCACCGAGGAGTTCACAGTGGAGAGAAGCCGTACAAGTGTGATGAGTGCGGCAAGGTCTTCAGCCAGACCTCAAACCTCGCCAGGCACTGGAGGGTGCACACTGGGGAGAAGCCCTACAGGTGTGCCGAGTGCGGCAAGTCCTTCAGCGTGCGCTCCAGCCTGACGTCCCATCAGGTGACCCACACTGGAGAGAAGCCATACAAGTGCAATGAGTGTGGCAAGGTCTTCAGCCAGACCTCGAGCCTTGCAATTCATCAGAGGATTCACACAGGGGAGAAACCATACCGGTGTAACGAGTGTGGTAAGGCCTTTAACTCACACTCAAACCTCAACACCCACCAGGTCATCCACACTGGAGAAAAGCCGTACAAGTGTTCTGAGTGTGGCAAGGTCTTCACTCAGAACTCACACCTGGCCAATCATCGTAGAACTCACACCGGGGAGAAGCCATACAAGTGTACAGAGTGTGGCAAGGCCTTCAGCGTGTACTCAAGCCTGACTACTCACCAGGCGATCCACACCGGGGAGAAGCCGTACAAGTGCAATGAGTGTGGCAAGGTCTTCACCCAGAACTCACACCTGGCAAGTCACCGGAGGACTCACACTGGAGAGAAGCCGTACAAGTGTGATAAGTGTGGCAAGGCCTTTAGTGTGCGCTCAAGCTTGACTACCCACCAAGCAGTCCACACTGGAGAGAAGCCATACACATGTAATGAGTGTGGTAAGGTCTTTAGTCGAAGTTCCAACCTTGCAAGTCATCGAAGAACTCACTCTGGACTCAAGCCTTACAAATGAGTGTAGCCAGGTCTTTGCCTTGCACAACATCTGTGCATTCATTTTTAAGAGAGTTTATAAACGCAGTGACTGTGGAAGACTATCAGGAGTTGATCCGTGGCTGGGGTGTGGCCCAGGGCAGAGTACTTGCCTTCTACATGCCAGGCCCTGGGGTCCACGCCCAGCACAGACAGTAGTGCAAGCACTGGTAGGCTCCAGAGCATATGGAAAGAAGTCTTGTATCTGTAATGTGCCCCACAGAGGCTTCAGTCCAGCCTCACAGATGACTGGAAAGCAGCAATACGTCATTGATGAAACCGTACAAATGGAGGGTCTTTACTGGGCTGTTGTTACCTGATGACCATACCTGCAGATGAGGATTTACTTGAAGAAATTCTCTAGTTCTCTATGGGTAACCCTGGTCACTACATTTTGTGGAGTAATTCCAAGTCAAAATACGTTAAGACTCAAAGGTGCAAGGACTTTTGGAAATCAACTACTTATCTTCAGGTCAAGAATTACTTTATTCAGTCATTTGAGGTCTCATGAGAAGGCTTCTTTGCTATATGTAACTTTTACCCTGGGCTTTAAAACCTGTCTCACGTTGTGCCTGCCTTCCAGGCCTTTATTATGGTCACTGGGAAAGAAGCATAGGATGGGAGGGCTTACTGCATTAGGTAAGGGTCATTCTGTTCAACTTCTGGGAAGACAAGCTCTGCCTTTCAAGGTAAATATTGTCTAAATTAGCATCTGGAAGAGGCAAAGAGTAGTGTCTTTAAGTGGATACAAGTCGTCAAGCTTCCTGTGTCCTGAGGCCCTTCTGTAGTTTATAGGAAAAATCATTCCACCGACTGTAAAATAAAACAGACCAAGGATGTGCCATCCTGGGGGTTCATATGGGATGAGAGTCACAGGCGAACAGGGACAGACTGTGATAGAATGCAAAAGAATGGGGACCACATGCTCCATTGAATCACAATAGCTCTCTTAGCAAAGACCGAAGAGTAATTAGCCCTATTTTTGAAATTGAGAGTTATCAGACTGGAGAATCTAATTAAAAGAACCAGAATGGGGGCTCGGGGCATGGCTCGCTAGAGTACTCGCCTAGCATGTTTAAGGCCCTGGGTTCTAAGCTCGACAAAAAAGAAAAAATAGCATTTCCTTCAGGATTATTTAACTGCTGGTCATACATTTTGCCACTGCTTTAGTAGAATGTATCATTGATCTGATGTTTTAATTAATAAAATTTAATCTTTTCATTACTACAAGTAATTTGTTTCTTTGATCGACAGTTTTAATTCATCTCAGTGCGGTCAGTGCTTCATAACAGCAACTATCCAAAGTTAAGGTTGAGGGACCTAGACTTGGTGTGTGAAGTCAGGTATCATACAGTTTGGGGAACCTA